GAGACATCGTCATCACGATGGCAGGATGAAGAGACAAGAAGATTTACTTACAACACCTTCCCAATACCTACTCTCAAAAGACTCAAATGCAACTGACTCTTCCTCCAGGCCTGTACCAACCACGGGAAATTTCCAGTGTATTACAGATGATTCCTCAGATGGGACGTCAACTGTTCTTGTGGTTTTCGCAGGGAAGACGTGGACGCACTTCATTACCTGCTCTCTGACAGAGCACCTTCGACAGCAGTTCTTTCCTTCCGACTACATCACATATACTGTGAATAGACTGTTCACGGACTATCCCTGCAACAAGCAAGCGAATGAAAGAATTATATTCAAGAAACTGAAGATTATTGTAGAAAGGCAGCCTAACCATCAGATTGCTAGCAACGACTAGGATGACTTCCTAACCCTGTAGTGCCATTAACTTAGTTTGGTGAAATAGGTTAAATAACCATATATACTGGAAGATGGGTGTCATTATCAAGAATATGACCCAGAAACAAAGATAAAACATACATCGGAGAAAAGACAGTCTTCTCCCATAGAAAAAAAAAAAAAAAAAACATTGATAAATCACCCACTATATGCTTGACTTACAGCCAGCTGATTTTTAACTTTTTTCAAAATTTAAGACAGCCACAAAAGGAGAGATCTGAAAACGTTTCGGATATTAAATCAAATGTCAAGTGTATTTTGCAAATGGTTACTTCCATTGTTTATAAACAGTATTTCAATTACTTGAAGAATCACTGAAAAAATTAAGGCTCCTCAGGCCGTTATTTTCAAGCAGATAAATTTATTTGAATGTTGGTAATCTTTTTCTCATAAGTTGTATATTTTATGGGTTCCATTGTAGAAAATGTCATGCTGTTTTTCAATGAATTTGTCAGAAGTTTCAAACAACAATTTTATTTTACCAAATCAAGAGCTGTTATAAAGAGCAAATAAAAATTAAATCAATTATATTCTCATTTGAAATGTATATTATAAAATTCCTGCGTATTTTGCTATTTTACAGGCATCTTTTATATTTTTATTACATCTTCTCAATTTTTCAACATATCTGAAATTTCATCCCAAATTTATAAAAATTCATGGTTTCATAAACTGAAAGAACACCATCCAAATGCCTCACTAAACAAAATGTTATTGTTAAATTTCCTTGAACAATTTTAGCTTGTTTTATCAAAAATATCCTTTTTTTTTTTTTTTTTTTTTTTTTTTTTTTTTTTTAAATTTTGAGAGACTGAATGGTTAAAAAAATAAAAACACTACAGAATTAATTAAGTTTAAACTATAAATATGTTGAAATTTTGCATAAAAGTTAAAATTTGAAATCTAAAACAATAAAAATTTGCATGAAAACATAATGCTTAAGAGGGAAAACTGAAAAAAATTAAAATATGCAATGTTTAATTCAATACACTATACATTATTCGTACTGCAAAATTCTATTATCTACCTGCTTCAATTTACATTTAGTTCAGTTTAAAAATTGCAGCAGCATAAAACAGATTTCTATTTTCACATATTTTACTTTTAAAAATTAGAAAACTGAGTATTATTTGAACAAGTAGCATTTTACACTGGTTATTGAAAATTAGCAAGTTTAAGTGTTATTAATAGAAGGAATACTAAAGTATTCATGTTTTTTAATAGCACAAAACCATGAAGGAGTCCCATATTTACTCATGAATTGTTTCTTTCTCTATAATTTTAAAGAGAGAAAGTGTGGTACTGTTATTAATATTTAGCATTTCTTTAAAAAGCTTTCAAACTGAAAGGGAAGAATTTTAAAGAATGGGAAGAAGTTAGAGAATAGCTGCTGTTTCCAATACCTTGCATTATTGTGTTTTATGATGTTACAGAATTTAGCACTTCACAAAGCCATGTGAAAGCTGGTTTATTTTTTCTTCAGTATTTTTTGTTTCTAAGAGATCTTGCAAAAATATGAAATATTCCAAAACAATGCAAGGTTCTGTTTATGATTTACATATGCAGCTATCCTGAATTATGAAGCTGCATAAATGAAAAGAGGTTGTATAAACCACTTGCGCTAAAAAGACGTGTTACGCACGTCGAGATGCTTTTGTCTCAAACCGCGAGCGACATGAACACCATGTCGATAACGAGATTGTTTATTTCTCGAGTTACAGCTCTGGATTGCACTCGCAGACACAGAGCGGTGTAAATGAGACACTTTACTGCTTGTTATATTGTAGCGCATGGCACCGCAACCGTGAAGTTTAGTCGTAGCGCAAGTGGTTACAGGATCCAGTTTTCTTTACCTAAGACCTTTCAAAGAAGTAAGTGAATGAGTCTCTTAGAACATCAAATTTGACAACTCACCTTACTTGTAATAAAATCATAAATTTAAAGACCCCAATAAACTAAGAGGAAAAAAAAGCACCACAGAATAACATTAAAAAGAAAAAATCAACATTGAATTTTTAGAATTTATTTACGGACCCCTTAATGGAAACTGAATACATCAAAACTCACGGCTTTTGAAATGAAATATCTGTCCGTTTTGGCCATACAGGGAAAGTTTTCTGTGTTTTATTTTTTATAACAAGTACAAAATTTTTCTTAACATAAATGTAGGGACTGGAGAAACATTAACATAGTTCATAATATTTCACAAATTTTTTTAACTTAAAAATGTCAAAATATGAATTTCTGCATCATTCAAAAGACTTTTGTAATAGGATGTATATGTTTAGACCAACAGTTGCAAAAATAAAGGCTGGGTATGGAACTTTTATAGACCTAGTTATTTAGAACATTATAAGATTAACAACAGAACTTTATAAGAAAAGGATGTGTGAGTTTCATTCAGAACAAAATTATATTTTTTTTATACCCGAGTAAACATTATAACTGAGGATTTCTAAAAAGTTACACTGCTTTTATCATCGAGGTAATGATAATTACCCAATTCTGTGCTTTGTTGTAGCTATACTTTTGGCAACTTTAATTCACTAAAATATATCAAGTTTGATAAACTATATACTATGAACTAATATATGAAGAACTGCAAACTTATACATTTTGGTTCTAATAATAAAATTATTTTAACATTAAATTTCCCTCTAAAATTTCATAAATTCTAAATCTAAATTGATTCTTCATTCATAACTGGCGTATAATCTGCGAGGAAGCCTCATGAAGTACATTATTTTAAATGAGAACAAAATCTGATTATATTCTTAAATACTTTGCCCACTGCAAATTATTTATACTGCTTTCTTACCTTTTTTTACTGTGCATAAGTCACCTATGTACACATCTCTCAACCAACTGGACTACTGTTATCAAACTTCAAAACACAAAATCTTAGAAATAAAGAAGACTATTTTTTGGTTATTATCATTAGTGATTTATTGATTAATATTCTATAAACCAAATTAACAGCATATAAAAATTAGAAAACACTAATTTTTCACATTAGTATTTGCAGCTGCCTGACATTTGTGCATTTTATTATTTTCTTTTACACAAACATTTAAGACACTTAAAACTGCTAAAAAATGTACAACTTTCACTGACAACTCTTGTTTTTTTTTTTTTTTTTTTTTTTTTTTTTTTTTTTTTTAATGCTAAAGAATAAGCTCCAGTAAACAGCAAAATTACTGCCCAGATCTTTCATATGGATCATTTTTCACAATCAAACTACAGAGAAAACTGGACATACATGATATAATACAACTATTAAATAATTTAAACAAATTTAAATTCTAAACAATAAACTTTAAAAAAATTATGTGCTTTAACCTGTTTAATTATTAACAAAATACAACTATTAATTTGTAACAGATTATAAAAATTTGAATGAATAATTTGTCAACATACAAACGTTAATTCCTACACATGCTTCAATTAAATTTATTAAAAGATTCAAAATGAACAAAATATTCTCTCAAGATATAGTTTCTTTCCCACTATTACACTAACATTATAGGTCAACATGATAAAAATACTGAAATTATTTTACATTGGCATATTTTTTATTCTAATCCAGTCTTCAATTCTCTTAAGAATTATGGAATGACAATTTCATAACTCGGTCATATAAGAAAATCTTATAATTGACACACAGTTAAAAATATTTTTGCCCATTTTGACATTCTAAAAACAAAATTCATCTTCAAATTCATCAAGTAATATATTTAATATTACTTGCACCACTTACTTACTGCACCACTCCTTAATATTTTAATTTGGAGAAGATAGATTTCTGGGATACTCACAAAACATTCTGCCATACCATTTACTGCCAAATTTTATATAATACGTAAAGTTACTACTCATTTTTACAAAACTTTAATACACAAGAAAAGTAAGATAGTACTTTTGAAAACAAGACAAGAAATATAAAATAAGATAAACATTACAAATGGATATAAATTAACATATTAATTTAGGTTAAAATGCATACAAAGATTTTTTTTCTATTAAATGTTTTAAAACCAATCAAACATTTTTAGACCATAATAATACAATTTCTTTATATTTAAAATAAAAATTCAAAGAAAAGAAATCTGAAAATGTTTTGAAATATGTCCTGAAAACCCATTTAATTTTGTTACTACAAAAGAATAGGACTGTGATTAAATGTATTAAAAAGAGAACTGAAAAAGTATTACAATAAAATTTGGTTTAAATGTGCAGTATGACAGCTGGCGAATGCAAAATTTTTAAAAATTTTCATTTTGTAGCTACTATGCCAAGTTGCTAGAAATGCTAATGCTGCTGGTATCTAAATAGTGACATAAAAAAAATTAGAAAAAACTTTTTAAAAAGCTAAAATGACTGTATATAGTGACAAACAAAAATGTATAAAATTCCTAGATCAAACATAATTGATTTTCCTGATTAAAATTAATACTGATCAGAAGCCTAAAGATTAAATTATGCAACTGAATGCAAAGTCAATTATTTAGGCTTTAAAAGAGTATAAAGAAAAGGAGGGAGAAAAAAGGAAAAGAAAAGCTGTGTTGAGGAAATGTGAGAATTTTATTAATATTCTTCACCCTCATCTTCATAATTTTCAGTGGAATCCAAGCCAACTTCTTCATAATCTTTCTCCAAGGCAGCCATATCCTCACGTGCTTCAGAAAATTCACCTTCCTCCATCCCTTCACCAACATACCAGTGCACAAATGCTCGCTTTGCATACATTAAATCAAACTTATAGTCTAAGCGTGACCATGCTTCTGCAATAGCTGTAGTATTTGATAACATACATACAGCACGTGGAACTTTAGATAGATCTCCACCTGGCACAGCAGTTGGTGGTTGATAATTGATTCCCACCTAATAAGAAAATAAAAGTGATAAAAAATCTTTATTAAATTTCTAAAGTTATTATTACATTAATAAATTTATAATTAGCCAAAAAATTATAAAACTAATTAATCTGATTACCACCATCAAACCAAAGAACAATTGTAATTTATGTGGACCATTATTTATTTAGGGCAATAAAAGATTTTTATTACATTTATATGACTAGAATTTTTTCACTCATTCAAATACTATAATGGATAATATGATACAACCTATATTCTATGAAACTATTGAATAAATTTACATTAATAAGTATGACATGCAGATTGACCTATATTTCTGAATTCACTATATATTATTTTTAAAAAGGCACTGAGAGGCTAACTTGCAAATTTTGATCAAGTTACACTTGGCAAAGACATTTTAAACTCAGGCACAGAATTTATAATAAATGCACTTCTGTTCTCGATAAAAGCAAAATGTTCTAGAGTTCACCGAGTCGCATAAAACCTGATAAATTTAGAGCAACAATTATTCAGAGTAAAATTACCGTATTTATGCGAATCTAATGCGCCATCGAATCTAATGCGCATCCCCATTTTAAAACTTAAATAATAAAAAAAATTGTTTGTCGGCGAATGTAATGTGCATCAATAGTATGAGGAATTTATTGAATCTTTAGTTGCAAACAGTGCCAATTTCTGTTGCCGCCACAAGCGAACATTGCTCTCAGCTACGTTGAACTCTCTCCCTGCCTTTCTATTGCCATTTTTTTCAGCATAAAGAATTACTTTACGTTTGAAAGTAGCGTCATATGACATTCTTCTCTGTTTGCCCTCCATTTCGTGACTACGTACTCTGCAGTTTGTATCCTCTATGCAATAATGTGTCAACGATAAATGTAACGGTAAATGTAGTCGAGAAATACAGTAATCCATTGTTACAGATTTAAATATTTGGTTTGACGTCATCGGCCGAACTTTGCACTCGAATCTAATGCGCCATCGAATCTAATGCGTACCCCAATTTTGAATACTTCATTTGGCCAAAAACGATGCGCATTAGATTCGCGTAAATACGGTAATTTGAAATATAGGATTTCTGTAAGAGAATATCTAATGTAGTAAGATGTTATAAATACCAATAATTTGGTCATGTTCGTAAAAAATGTATAAAGGACTTAACATGAGCAAAAAAAAAAAAAAAAAACCAGAGTTCGTACACATTTCTGCACACAGAAATTAAGGACTTTTAAGGACCATTAATGAAAAAAATTAAGGACCTATGAGCAAACAGGAACTGAATAAATTCAACTGAAGCTATTATCTATGCTTGAATTTCACTTTTGTTATACCATCCTAAAAATAAAATAGATCCCTAAGTAGTATGCATTATTGCTAAACATGAATTAACATAATTGTTAATAACTTTGAGAATAAAATAAACCATGCAATTTATCAAGTAGCATTAAATATTTTACACTTATGATAGTTGGTCATATTCGAAAATTTATATCGATTTCTGCTCTTTTAAGCATCTTTTCTAACAATTAGAGATTTGTCTCAATATGCAAACCATTGCTCTCACTAGTTTCTGCGTGCTTCATCTCCTAACTTGTCAACCTCTCCATAATGTACCTATGAGGGTTTAATTGATCTGGTAAAAGTTAAATAGCCCAAAACCCCCAACAGAATGAAGCATATTATCACTAAGTCTGAAATTAACTACAATATCGGACAAAGGTTTAAATAAGCCTCTTATGTAAAAGGAGCTTGGAACATAAAGGCATGTCCTGATACTAACAAAATCAATTACAGCTCATGGTGACGTAATTAAACAAGAACAGTCAAATTCAAACTAATAATGTGGACTAGTGGTCAAAGATTATATAATTTAATTGTAATGGCTCAATAACTCTATCATATGAAGAAATAGAAATGGAAAATTACAGTAAAGGTTGAAATCATAAACAATTTGGTAATTTACATAATAATAGCTGCACATATCTTTGAAGAATAATTTCCTTTATGTACTCAGTTTCTTTCTTCAACACGTTCCTTTTAATTTTAGAATTTTGGGATTTAATTAAGGATTTCCGTTATTCTAAAAAACACTAAATGCATTTAGAATGTACAGAAAAAGTGACTAATTTAATTTCTTTAATAATATGAAATTCAGAAGAAATATGAAATATATATGGTAAAGGCCAGTTACAGAGCTGGTGTGGCAGAATTTTTAAAATTTAGTGACACACCAAACAACAAAATCTAGAAATGGCAAAACTTTTAGAATTTAGAGCAGGCATTGGAAGCAGAATTTAGAAAAGTACTATGCAGTCGAATTTAGGATCCACAGAGATTGCATCAGATGAGAAAATGCCTAGTGCAAGCTCTGCATGATACATTAAGACATATTAGATGGATCTTTTAAATTGTAAGTTTTCAATTTCTTTATTAATAAAAAAAATCCCTTTCTATAATGCCTGCCCAAGTGATAAGATTAGAAGCATTTTTGATATTTTCCATGCTTGTGTCTAGTGAAAAGTAGAGAAAATAAAGGGAAGATAAACATGTTAAAAAAAAGATTCTAGTACAAAGAGTAAAACATTCAAATATTATGTCTTCATTGTTCTCCCAGACATTCTCCAAAAAGTAAGAAATTCATCACAAACTTTCTGTAAAATACATCCATTACGCGTTGATACCAAGGAGACATTTTTCATTTTGTCACATATTTCTCAAATCTTCTAGAATCGTAGGTCTATAAATCTTGCCTTCAAATCCTTCTAAATTTTCCAAGCTGCAATGTCAAAAATACTAAGGAAAAATTATCCCAACCAATTCTGTAACAGCAAAAAGCCAGAAGTATTTTGGGAAAAAAAAGGGAGGGGAGAGAAAAAGTGTAAAATTAATTTTATAGAGAAAACTGATTATTCTGAGAATTTTGAATATTCTGAGACAATTACACGGGAAAAACGCTTACTACAAAAAAATTAAAAAGAAGACTTTTAATTAATTACATAGCTAATTTTGCTTTTCCTAAAAGCTGTTTCGTAAATTATGCTTTACAGCATTATACCTTATTTATTTTTCAGATTCAAAATATTGTACAAGTTGCCAAAATGAAACTTTACAATATGACAGCGAAAAATAAAAATGTTTTATTTTAATGTTATTTTTTTAATTTAATTCCAAATTATTACCATTATTTTAATGAAATTTATCAATGTCATGATGCTTTTAAAAAAAATCGACAAAAATTCTCAGATTTCGGAATTGAAAATTTTCTATAGAAACTGATCTTAGAATCGCCAAAATGTTGACAAGTCGCCAAATTTAGAACCCTTTAATAAAAGAATTCACATCCCCAAAAGCGAAAATTGTTTAAGAGCTCTTTATTACGAAAAATGAATTTCGAAATGCTTAATTTTCACTTCTTGCTTAGAAACTCGAGTATCCCATCATTTATATTAGAAATAGAAACAAATTATAACTCTTGTACCCATTCAAAAGATTACCATACATACGGCTGTGAATCGCCAAAAATATTCCTCAAAATGCTAATTCACACTCAAAACGACAGTCGTAGTCTTTGATTAGACCCCCCTCTCAAAATAGTAAACATCCGTACGAGTGGAGTCTAGCCTTGGAACAGGTTTACGAAGCCAAGTTACTTGTCTCAATGTAGATTGAGTGTCAGTGCTAGATATAGAAGAAGGTATACTGGTATCAATTCTTTCCTCCATTTCAGGGAAATAGCCAACTGGAGTATTAATAGATTGGAACTCGTCCCTCTCTTCAAATTCCAAATCAAGAAGGGTGCCCAGTGCAGCTCCACTGCCACTTCTCTGCATTCCAACTGACACTCTTTAAAAGTAGCGTTTAGGGTTTCTACTACTTTTTGTTCATTTTCCAACCAAATTTTTGTATCCCTTTTGTTCTTACACTGTATCCAGTCAATCGGCCCTTCATTGCCTTTGGATCAAGCTTAGAATTTGTTTTAGCTTTTGGAATTCCCACATAGGCAATTGTTCCAAATACCTTAAGGAGACGTACTGACGGTTTCCGCTTAGTGTACAATTCGAATGGGGTTCTATCTTGGTCCTTATGGCAAATTCTATTGAATGTATATGCAACATACATCACTGCATCTGACCAAAATTCAGGACTCATTCCACTATCATGTAAAATTGCACGTACATTGTTGAAAGCTGTCTGAATGAATCTCTCACAAACTCCATTTTGTTGTGCTGTACACCATTTTTATTACAACATGACCTGAATTGTTCATTATTATATTCTCGTCCATTGTCAGTTCTAAAGTATTTCAACTTAAGGTTCAAAGATCTTTCAGCACGTGCTTTATATGCCTTTCAAATATTTCAAATACCTGACTTTTCTCTACAATGTGGGTGGGTACACTACCATATAACGAGAATATTCGTTAATAAAGGAAATGAAATAACGTTCACTATTTCTACCTAGGAATGTTAATAGTTCCTCATACATCAGAAAAAAACCTTTCCAGTGGCCTCTTTACTTGAATACCTTCTAAGGGTCTATAGGACATTCGTCTTTGCTTATTAATTTGGCAATGTTCACAAAAACAAATTAGGTGAGTGCTTTAATACAGGAAGACCTCGAACTGAATGTCTCTTACTAGTCCTGACAATAGCACCATAATTATATGACCAAACCGACTATGCCATAATTCACTATTGTTATGCTGAACTGTGGATGCTTCAAATTTCACAGATTTGCCCCCCTTTTTCACTATTTTCGGGAATACATGATAGTTACTTCCTATCAACTTAGCCTTGTACAAAGTTTCATTTTCATCATCACTAACTTTAATTTGCCCATTTTTACCATAAAATCTCGCTCCATTGATATCCATCTTAGGTCCAGATATTAAATTTCATCTCAGTTCAGGTGAGTATAAAACATCCTTAAGCAAAATAACTCTATCACCAAATTTCATTTTAACAGTACCCTTCCCATGAATTGGAAAAGTTACCCCATCAATAG